AAGYACGAACTCYYTYRATATAACGTTAATATCGGCTATATCGTCTAGTAGGTAGTCGACCTATATTAGTCCTACCTTCGTTTCGACTACGCCGCGCTAGTAGCGCGCTAGGTRTATATCGACCTTRCTTAATAGCTTTAGACTTAGAGTTTAAGCTTTTTCTCGGAGTCCTTTGCTTTTTCYRTAACGACTACGGTAACCTTRCTCCGCGTATTACTCGGCCCTTAGCCTTCTACGCCGCYRCCTTTAGCCTAATATATCTTATTAGCATAGCCGGTACGGCTATAGTTAGAGCACTTTAGGTCTAAATAGGCGCCTTCTTTACGCTTACGTAAAGGCTACTCGCTACTACGGTTAGACTTAGGTTTACGTTCCTTATTACGATTATAGGTATTCTTAYRTAGTCTACTACTACTACGGTTATAGTCCTAAGACTTATAATTRCCGCGCTTAGTACCCGTAAGCTATACGCTCGTACCCTTATCGGCTACTTTAATGCGCCTTACTAGCGCTACTATCTCTACCCTTATTATAGGTATAGAGTATAACTTAATAATCTCCTAACGGAGAGCTAGTCTTAGCTTAGYRAGGAACTAACGTACGAGCTACGCTTACGTRTAGTCTAGTTAACTCTCTAGYACTTCTAGTTTAAGRGCGAATTACTTTACCGTTTAATCCTAGCTCTAYCGAACCCTTTCGTACTTAAGCGTAACGCTAAGCGCGCGGTTCGTAGGGTCCCCGAYRGTATTACGTACGAACGATTAGAAATCCTYCTACGTATAGCTCGGCGTAAGCGCCTCGATATYRTGCTCGTTATACTACGACTCCGCGGCGTYWCCYCCTAGCTACATAACGCTATAGAGGACCTTATTATAGTTACTCTCTAGGCTAGTAGTAGTATTAGCGAAGATTATCTTAAGTTGRCGTAGGAATTCGCGTGCCTCTTTAATAGAATCCCCTAAGAATAGTTTAGGATCCTTTATCTTAGGTCTTACGCCTACTCCGCTACGCGTATACGCTACGCTTAAACTCGAGGTGCTTATAGCATCCGGATCTTCCTTATATAAGAGGCGCGTAGGTACGCCGCGACGGGGTATAGTAGTAGCTACGCCTACGTCGGCGCGGTTACGATTACGCTTTATTTATTAGACTTCTAACTAAAGTTAGCGAATCGTCTCTTGCTACTATAGAGCCTACTTCTCGCCTTCGAGGCGCTAGATTATCTTATTAGCCGTCTCTTCCTTATCGCGTTCGWTTTCTCCGTAATCTATYRTRTCTTCGTCTAGAGTAGGCTATATAGGCTCTACGGTAGCGACTTCTTCGATATCTCCGTAGTTAGGGAGTTCTTCGACGCGTTCTTCTTCGTAGCGCTACTCGGGRGTAGTCGCTTCGCGGGCGGCGCGCCTAGGGGCTATTCCGTTAGGATCTAATAGATCGCTACCCTTAGAGAGGAAGAAGAATTAGAATTATAAGNCGCTTTATTTATTAGACTTCTAACTAAAGTTAGCGAATCGTCTCTTGCTACTATAGAGCCTACTTCTCGCCTTCGAGGCGCTAGATTATCTTATTAGCCGTCTCTTCCTTATCGCGTTCGATTTCTCCGTAATCTATCGTATCTTCGTCTAGAGTAGGCTATATAGGCTCTACGGTAGCGACTTCTTCGATATCTCCGTAGTTAGGGAGTTCTTCGACGCGTTCTTCTTCGTAGCGCTACTCGGGAGTAGTCGCTTCGCGGGCGGCGCGCCTAGGGGCTATTCCGTTAGGATCTAATAGATCGCTACCCTTAGAGAGGAAGAAGAATTAGAATTATAAGGGTAAAGATGTAGCAATGTATTAGACACCCGTAATTACTCGATTAGAGATAAGACTAATTCTTATAGGTTAAATGTGCGCTATGCGTAGGAGTTATGTATACGCTAAGCCTACGCTAAGTAGTCGGGTTATATTACACTCCCTTCTCTAAGGTTAGTTAATCTAGCTACCTCTATTAATCCTATTATTATAAGGGCTCTTATACGGCCCTTATAAGCGCTACCTCCGCTAGCTTACCGCCGCTAATAATAAGGACCTAAGGAAGCGTAGGAGTACTATATAGTAGTACGGAGAGTAGTTTATTAAGGACGTAGAGGGCGTAAGTATATATTACTACTACCGCTACGAGCGTAAGGGTAAGAGGTAAACTCTACTAGTTCTAAATAGTAATTAAGGGCCGCTCTACTACCTCCTTAGGGATTACCGTATCGATAAGGATAGTAAACTAGTAATAAGTAAGAAAGAGGCGGCTTCTACGAAGGGCGGTATTATATCTATAGCGTTACTCGTTTCGAGGAAGAGCCTTAAGAGGTTTAAGAGCCTATTAGTACGGTAGATTATATATTACTACATCTCTTTCCGTATACTTAAGAATACGTACTTCCGCGCTCTTATATCGTTCTTAAACGCCGGAGTTAGAGGCGTTCTTCTACGTATAGCGTCGACGATTCGAGGGTAGGTCTTAGAGGTATATAGGGCGTAGAAGGAAGCGTTAATAGAGGAGTTAAGGGAGGCGTTAAGCGATATCTACGTATCGTTTAATAGCTAGACGAGTCCGAATAACTACTTAATCGTTAGTATTAATACGTACTTTATCGATAAAAGCGGAAAGCGTAGGATAGAGCGGCTAGCCTTTAGAAGGATCCTCGGCGAATATATAGGCGATAATATTAGTACGAAGCTACTTAAGGTAATCCGTAAGTAGCGGATTAGAGGGCGGATTAGTTACTTTATTACGGATAATACGAGTAATAATAATAGTATAATTAAGATAGTTCTAAGGGCTCTCTATCCGAATATATTAGCGAAGATATATAAGGGACGGAGGCTCCGGTATCTTAGCTATATTACTAACCTTATCGCGAAGGTAATACTCCTTAGTAGAGGTAGCGGTAAGGCGATAAAGGAACTAGAGCGTAATACCGAGAAGGGCGCTTTTAAGAAGGTAGAAGAATTCTAGCGTAACCGTAGCGCTATCGGACGACTATATAATATTATTAAATGGATTAGAGCGTCTATATAGCGACGAGAGGCGTTTAAGAAGGTGTATTATAGTAGTAAGAAATGTGTAATGTTTAATAATCTTAAGGTAAGTCTAGAAAAGTAGGTTTATACCGCTCCGGAGGTAGCTCCGCCGGTAACTCCGGTAATTCCGGTATAAAGTTATCCTTACTTCTATCCTTTAACTTTGCTAATTATAATATATATAGCTTATCTAAGACAACTCTATACGCTAGAACTTATTCTACTATATACTAGGAAGGGTATAGACCGTTAGGGAGCGAATTACCGAGTTCTATAGGCTCTATAGAGCTAAGAGGGCCATCCGTAATAACTAGCTAATACCGAACGATTAGGCTTAGATTAACCGGCTATACGATATACTATATATATTCGAACTTACGATAATAACGACTTTAGGTAATAAGAAACACCTATACGACTAGTACCCTACGCTTTAGTTCCTCCTCGATTATACTAGCAAATATTCGGCCGAATTTAAAGAAGAAGTAGCGATAGATAGACGGTTTAGATACCTCTTAGGTTGCTATAACTATACCTAGTAAAAGGCTAAGAAGTACTAGAAGCTAGTAGATAATACACTAATCATCTACGCTACTATCGTCCTTAATCCGACCCTTAAATACGGCTAGTTCGAAGATAGATAGAGTAAAGGTTCTAAGGAAGAGTAGGGCTATATCGAATAAGTACGTATAATAGTAAAAGAGCTATAGATGTCTAAATATCGCCCTATACTACCGCTATCGCTAGTAGGTAGTTCTATAATACTAGCTCCCTTAGATAGTAAGGATCTCCGTAACTACCTATCTATATATAAGCGGCGTAAAACAATAATAACCTTACGTAGTAACGTACTCGAAAACTACCTATCTAAGGACTACGTTCCGGATACTAATAAAGCACTAATTAATGTCCTTAACTAGTAGTTTAAGAGGCGTTACTTAGAGCTAGAACTAGCTAAGTTTACCTTTAATATACTCGTAATCCCCCTTTAATTAGATAAGCTAGAACGGTCCTTCTTAGATAGCTATAATATTATTACCTACCGCTATAACCGCCTCTAAGAGGAGGCAATTAAAGCATATAGTTATTTAAAGAGCTAGTACGGTCTACTAACACCGGATATATTTAATAATATTAAGGGGATTAAGGAGTTTTATATAGTAAGGACAACTATAGCTATAATATAGGGCTCTTAGGGAGTTTTAAAGGATATAGAGACGCTTTTTATAAACTAATTGCCTATTTAGGAAGCAGGTAACTATTAGTGGAGTTAGTATTCACTTTAGAAGCAGTTGGTTAGTATAGTAAGAGCCCTTAGCTAACCGGTAACCATACCAACAAGCACACTATTCCATGGCATCCGAAGCGTTAGTTGGCGAAGATCACGTGGAAGCTTTCAATGCCTACGAATCGCCATTCTTTAACGCGGGTCCTGACTTGGACAACGACCCATTCCTTTACGGTCTGGGCGGATAGTAGCGCGGAATCTTCTGAGACTTCTCCATGGATCGACTCTTGCAACGACGATCATGCATAAGCTCAATCTACTTGAAGTCCCACTATGGCGTTGCTTTAATGCTGGCGTTAGGCGGATTTTGTAGCATACTTATTGGGCTCGGAGTTGCTCAGGTCTCTTCTTCTCAGTAAGAAGACCTGCTTTGTCCTTCGAATTGAATTACTTTACACAATGAAAGCATGAATGAATGGTTTGATTCTACAATGTACCAATTTTCGTCAACGTCATGAGTTKAACTTCCGCCCGATTCTCAAGCAATTGCACCTTCAGCAGCTTTCCAGGTTGTTATGTCGCCGTGACAAGCCCCCTTCTTGGACTTCTGCGCTCTCTCTTGACTACAGCCCGGCAATCCAAACATCGTCGGCTTGTTGCTACATGCCTCTATCCTCCTCTCCACATACTGATGCGTATCCATGCCCCTCCACATCTAGAAATCATCACGATATTCGCCTTGTGCGTCTCCAAAGAAGGCTTCGTCAAAATGCGACGGCATATTGAATGGCTCATCGTAGATCTCAAGTGGGACGCCTTGCTCACTCACACCAGGGAGATCTTGTCTCGGACGGACTGACCGGAGGTCTGAACGCTGTTCGGTCTCTTCATCCTCCATCTCGCTCGCTTTTCTCTTTCCTATCGAAACATGCGGCACATTCTCTGGCACATTCTCCTGCATCGTCGACCTCTCGACGTCCGAATTCCGATGTTCCAGCTTATTTGTCGCTAGACTTGCCCCTGGCGTCCGAGTGCGTTCCATCTTTCCATACTGGTCGGATGGAGCGAAGCTGCCCTGTCTGGACTCGTGTAAAGCCTGTGGCACTCTCTTTCTTCTCGGTTTGTGGGTCTTGTTGCTAAGCGCATTACTTCTCAAGTTCTTGATCTTGCGACTGAGATGCTCGTCCGGGTTCCTGGCTAGATCTTGAAGACCCTTCCCCTCCAAGACATCAATAGAGACCAGTTTGTGGCGCTGAACGGCAGAGATGATCCTATTGATTCTCTGACCGCAAGTAAGATTAGTCAGACTCTTGTAGCTGCCTTTTGATGCTGCTTTGGGTGTGAAATCTTCTCGCGGTAGTCCGACGATGTGGCAGTCGATGGCCGCATCAAGGAGCATTAAGATCATACTCTCCGCCTTCTTCTGTCCTTGGTCGGTTGATAAAGCGTGCTGGATCTTCGACATGGCTCCTCGTTGTTGTTTGATGTAGTACAATCGCTGCTCTTCTTGCAAGCCGGTAGGTGTGGTGGCTGGACGGTGCACGATGGCTTGTAGGATTGCACTCCCAAATGTGGCCAAGCCTCCTCTCCGAATGCCCTCTGCATCATCGTTTTGCACTTTCGGGATCTGTAGTGTCTCTGAGAGCGATGCAAGGAAGTTCCGGGCTTCCTGAACAGTGTTGATCTCGCCTGACCACCGCACTTCAATGTTTTCGATCTGTTCGTCGGCCACCAGCTCTTCTCCGGGAATCTGTGGATCAACTTGTGTCGTCTGTTGTTCTTGAGTTTGTTGTTGATCGGGCTCAGTATACTGGGCACTCTCCCCTCGATCAACCTCAGGATATGGGACATCGCTGTTCCAGAGCTTTGGCTGGGATGGCTGATACGGCCAGTCATCATACGCTGGTGGTTCGGTATCCTGAAGAAAGGTGTTTTGATGTGGCATTTCTGGCTGCGGTAACACCCAACTGTTGGTTATGGCGGGACTGTCTGGATAGTTTGTGTGTTGCGCTCCTGGCTGAGCCTGAATGGAGGCTCTCCCATCTACTGGATTCTGACTTGGGATCGTGTGACCAAGGTTTCCATCGTCGGCGGGATAGCTATGCTCACTGTTCCATTGGAGGAGGCGCTGCAGGTCTTCCTCGTTCATGTCGTTCGCAGGCACGTTCAACTTCGATGAGGCAACTTGGCCGACGCAAAGCAGAGACTGGGTTGTGGGGGTGTATTAGGGGAAAGCAGCTTTTCATAACGAAGTTAGGGAACGTTCCATCGCTTCATGTAACATCACTCATGTCAGACACTCGGACGTCTTCTGGAACTCGTCGAAAGCGATGATACACGCTGTGACATCGCTCCGCCATTCTCGCTGGATACCACTCATTCATCGGTTGCGGTGGACTTCTATACGATGCATTCACTGCCTCCAACTCGTCGATCCCCCCTTACAAAAGAGAAGGTGCCGTTCGGGATGAGCTTGATGCCAGGCATAGAATGGAGACCCGTGAACTGTCCTACTGCAAATGACATGAAGCATCAMACATTTGCTTTGACCCGCCTTCGAAATCACGCGCGTATGTTCATTCTCGTGTTACTATCACGCCCGATGTCCCTCCCCGAACTGTCGTAYCAGCCGCTTGCTATTGCCCCATCCGCTTTTGCGTCTTTGTGCCCTTGTCTTTGTTCCCCTAGACAATGTCTCACGCGAGTGAGCTTGTTCTATGCATGTGAGGTGCGAAAGGTAAAGCACATGCTGAGTCGTTTGCTTCCAACAGACAGTGGAAGGGGTGGCATCAGTGGAGGCATCTAGTCCTTTTCTATGCCTGTCTTTTTCCCAACCCATCGTTTTGCCTGCCTTCTTGCGCTAGTGCTTCTCAACTTCGCAATATACACTGAACTAGACTCATTCTATATACCACATGTTCATGTTCTTTGCAGCCATCGTCTCGCGWCTCCTGATTCAGGGTGTTGCATGCTCTCGTACTTGTTGAATGCGAACCTTAAACTCAAGTGAATGAGCAGACGTTTCCCAAATGGGAATAGATGGAGTACCCCTTCAAAAAGATGGCGGAATGCATACCACCGCTTTTCTGTTCACTCAATCACAAAGTCACAGATACGAGGTGAAAAACTACACCAATCTCTGCTTCGGATCGATTCTCTCCTCATCATCATCACATATCGTGCAACAAGTCAGTGATCCAAACGTCGGCCCTGAGCGAACCATCGCTTACGCTCCTCTCCAGACTCTACTCCTTGGGTCCAAGATGGCGAGACCACTTCATGCGAACGATCCGCATCCCGGCTACCAGGCGCGCGGAGATACACAAGGCAACTACGACCGCGCAGCATCAAACGACCTGATGAATCACAGCGACCGTTTTACCAGGGATCAGAGCAGCTTTTCTGGCCCTGGATCGCAAGTTCAAGACTCCCGAAATCAAACATCCTCTGGTGATCGAAGTGGAAGCTTCTCTCAGGATTCTCGCCCAGCTCCAGTGGCTCAGAATCACTACCTGGAGAGAGGTGGTGCCGCGCAATTCTCGCAAGCGTGGCCACAGCCGTTTTCACAGCAGCAGTATCCTCAGCGTGCTTTGCCATCTACCATCCCAGGATTCGGAGGCTTGGGCTTTCTTGCGAGGTTCCAAAGTCAGAATGGGCGACACCACCAATTCAAGGATCATCAGCAGGAGCGGAATGAAGTTGAATCAGATTCGTATCCTGATCACCCCAATCCCGCGCAACAGTATGCCATGAACAGCGTCCAGTCGGCTATTCCAAGCTTTGCCTTGGTGAGCCAACAGCGACCTCTGTACCAACCGCAGTATCTCCATTACGACTATCCCTCATCCACAGACCGAGCAAATGACGCTTCCAATGGTCAGGATGGCGCATCTCGTTCGGGTCAACCAATCTTCATGCCGCCTACCACCCCATCGAATGCGCCGAACGGCTATAACACACAAGGCGAGCTACGCCCAGCAGCAGACAGCCAAAAGAGACCTATCGCAGTAYATTCAACAGACGACTTACCCCGACCCTCGATCAAGCGCCCAAAGCTCGACATGCAGGAGTTCGTGAAGCCCAAAACCGCTTTCGATGCTGCGCAAGCTCTAGCCAGCACCACCGTCGCGCAAGGTATCCTCCAAGGAGTCCCTACCTACGTCAACGAGGCCACCTCTATCCAAGTAGCTAGAGCTCGACTTTCGCGCAATACCAGTGCTCTTCAATTCCACGACTTGGAGATCAAGTTTGACGATGTCAACACATTCACCCACCAGGATCTCATGCCAAGATTCTTTCAACGAATGTTCGACGCCCTCCACACGAAGCCTGGAGCCCCTCCTACTTACATCAAAGCCGAGCAAAAGCAGCGTTTCGCCGAGAAACACGAGGGTCGCTACCAGCTATGTCGCGACCAGCTCGTCACCAAAGAGCAAGGCCTAGATACCATGGCGGCATTTGAGCTCTTGGCAGCCGCTGCGAAGCGAATCCACATCAGCGGAATCCCCATGGCGGATTTGAGAGCCGAGGATTACGGGAAGAAAGACAGGAAGGGAAAGCGGAAACTTCTGACGCAGAGTAAGCTGTCTGTTGATCAAGAAAGTACCTTCTTGCAGCGTCTGGATCGGATCGTGGAGCATACTAGAGTTAACAAGTACTTTGGTTATGATATTTTGAAGGGTGCGAATACGGATGATGTTGTKGCTGCGCCGGATATGTATGCGAAGCAGAAGTTTACTGCGTTCAATTCGAACTCTGGTCGAGATTCACGATGCAGGGATCGGAAGGATTCTAAGAAGTTGATCGCGAATGTCGAGCCCGGGGTGGACGATGGGCGGAACGGCGATGAGCTGAACGAAGGTGAGCTGAGCGGCGATGGGCGGAACGAAGATGAGCTGAACGAAGACGAGCTGAATGGCGATGGTCTGAATCCTTATGATATCACAGTAAATGGTCAAGGCCTGTGGGATCTATCGGACTTTCACAACTTCGACACCTACGGCGGTGCTACCACGGGATGACCATCACCTCCAGCGACAGAATAGCTTTGGAAGGAGACATGCTCCAGAATTCGAAAGCTCGATTTCATGGATGAGGATTCGTTCTTAGCGAAGAGTTGACGCTGGTGATGATTTCGAAGTTCGGGTCTGGTTTGCATTGAAGGAGATATCTGAGTTACAGCCACCAGAAATATCTTCAAGCGACCAAGGCCACGGCAGTCTTCCTTCTCCATAGTGCTGCACCAAAGATTTTCTCGCCTTGCGACTTTAYAGCAGGACAGTGATAGCCTGGAGATCTCTTTGTCTAATATCGTATGAACAATGCCAGCATCTCTCGAAAAGGAGATAAGTCCTGCTCGCGCCATGTCTTGTATGGCATCGGGCGTAGTCTTCTGTAGCTCCCTACCCGCTGTGAAACCGCGCCCATCATGCCAGCAAAAATATAGAGCGAAGTCTCAGTCGCTATCGCTCAAGGATCCAGGCAAGCTCGCTCCGTGAGTGCGACGGGATCCAACTGGAGTTCTGCTATTGTGGCCTACTTCCCGCTACACCGCCAAAGTTTCCGTGACCTTTACGCTGTTCGTCGCCGGGATACCGACCTCTCCTTTCTCCAGTTCAATCCCACCATCACTCCTCTCCCCTTCCCCATCACTCCCCTCCCCCTCCCCATCACTCCCCT